TTATGAAAGCTTTCCTCCTTATATCAGGCATGTGAACAAGGCAGGCATGTCGGCTGAAATTAAAAGATGACTGAAAGATAAGCAAATGCCATTAGTTTATGTGCCACTTCACACACAATAAAAAATAAAACCATTAAAAATTGCAAAACCCTACCTATAGAAAGCAAGGACAGCTTTAGGACGATAATGCAAAACTTTCAACAGTGGACCTGGGAGGAGGCAGGGACACACATCCTGGCCTGAATCAAGCGATCCAGCCAAGCTCCATGAAGCTCTTTTGGTAACCCTGGAGTAGGCAATGCCAGATGTGGTTGAGCCTGAGCTTCCAAATACCCCAGACCTTCAGAAGTGTCTGCTGAACATGTTATGTAAATTAACTTAGTTACCATATCCCTAAACTTGGGTTCATAACCACAGACCTGGATACACAGAACACACTGCTGGTTTTCTATCCATCTCCAGTCCCTCTACTGCCAGTGCTGTCAAGGGGATGAGCTGACAATGAAACCCATTTCAGGACACAGAGACGAAGGGCAGAGCCTGTCTGGGGAGAGCTGCCAGCTCGCGAGACCTTGCATCACTCGCTGTCTCCTTCTGAATGAACAACAGATGCTCCACCATTGCTTCCAGGCCATGAAGGCACATGCAGAGGGGAGCAAGCCATGTGCCCCCCAAGGAAGCCTGAGGGACAGGGCAGCAGAGTTCATGTGTCCTGGAAGTTAAATCACTGGTGACTTCTCCCAGTGCCTCTCCCCTGCTTGGTGATATTAAATTCACCACTTGCTCACACTTTCTTTACAGGAGATCAACTCCGAACAGAGTTGGTGCCCCACTGTTTACTAAAACTATGTCATTAGTGAGCGCATCTGAAACTCAAGGCCAAGAAGCACTTATTCTAGCTCTTAAACAAAACTGAAGCAAATAAATAATAATGAGGAGGAAAGCACTTTCCCTTAAACCCACATAATGGCAGAAAGGAGGAACCAAGAAGGGCAACTCAGAGGTAGCGCCCATGTTTCATCTGGACCTTCAGACATGTTATAGTTACAAATGTAAAGTCAACTCCCAGCCCACGTGTTCTTTGCTGTGACTGATAAGAAACAGTAGCGGTGGCAGGTTGAGATCTATGACCAGTGCCCAACACTGCACAGAACACTTTGTATGCAATCTCATTTGATCTACATATTAACACTATGATCGAGAAACTCTTCTTATTCCCATAGTACAATATCTCTTAGGTCCTCATTTGTTAAAAAGAGTAAGAGGCTGGCACAGTAACATCTCAGGCCAAGTCTTGACTGGCAATGCCAGCATCCCATATGGGCACCAGTTTGAGTCCTGACTGCTCCACTTCTGAGCTAGCTCCCTGCTAATAGCCTAGGAAAGCAGCAAAGGATTGCCTTGAGTGTTTGGGCACCTGCATTCACATAGGAAGCTTCTAACTCCCAGCTTCAGAACAGCTCAGCCAAGGTCATTTTGGTCAATTGGGGAATGAAGCACCTCCTGCCAAACCCCCTCTGCCTTTCTCTCTGTAACTTTCACATAAATCAAAAGTAAATCTTGAGCCCAGTGTGATAGCATAGTGGTTAAAGTCCTCACCTCGAACACGCCGAGATCCCATATGGGCGCCAATTCTAATCCCAGCAGCCCCAGCCCCGCTTCCCATCCAGCTCCATGTTTGTGGCCTGGGAAAGTAGTCGAGGATGGTCTAAGGCCTTGGGACCCTGCACACGGGTGGGAGACCCAGAAGAGGAACTGGGCTGCTGCCTTCAGATTGGCTCAGCTCCTGCCGTTGTGGCCACTTGGGGAGTGAACCATTGGATGGAAGATCTTCCTCTCTGTCTCTCCTCCTTTCTGTACATCTGCCTTTCCAATAAAAATAAATAAATCTTTTAAAAAAGCAAATCTTAAATAAATAAATAAGCAAATAAAAGAGAAAAAAATGAGGGTATAATGCACCACCACATAGGATTATAGGGCTATCAACAGAAGTAAATGAGGTAAAATATGAGAGCATTTAGTATTCCAGGAATTATTGAGAATTTAAAGCACTACTAACAACAACTAAATAATGACTGATTCTAGGCCTTTTTAAATGGTTATTTCTTTTCTATCTACTTGAAAGGTGCTGGGGTGGCAGAAGGGGGAAAGTGGGAGGGAAGGGAAGAGGGACAGGAGATTTTCCATCCACTGGTTCATTTCCCAAATCCCTGCAGTAGCCAGGGCTGGGCCAGGCTCAAGCCAGGAGCCTGAAATTCAAGCTAGGCTTCTCACGTGGGTAGGAGGGGTCCCAGTGCTTCAGTCATCATCTACTGCCTTGTAGTATGTACTAGAGAAAGCCAGAAGCAGAGGAACTAAGACTCCAACCAACACTGCAATATGGATTGTGGCCCTCCCCATATGATGGCAGAATCCCCTGCTCCAAACTACCCACCCCTGCCTTTGGCCTTGGTAATGTAGAGGTAGCAGGAGTTTCAGTTCTCAGAAAAAGGCTGCAATTCCAGCTGCTAGTAACACCAAACTTATCTGTTGAGTTTTTATATGCTTCACTTTGAGATGAATTCAAATTTACAGATTCATCAGTCTTTAACACATGGACACTTAGCTTTACTATTTCCTGTATTCCACACCATTTCCTTGCCTTATCTCTTCATTCCATAACATGTAAGAATATTATGTATATTTTTTAAGAATGTTATTCTCTTATACAACTACTATACAAATACCAATTCTAAGAACTTTATAAATGTTACGGTGTTTTATATATTCACTTCTAATTTCATCCATTATCTTTATAATGTCGTTCACAGCAAATGCCTCCCTCCCATCCCTTACACAATAAGACACAGTTCAGAACTGCATGTTTTTTTCTAGTCTCTTTAATCTGGAAGGTAGACCAGCCTTTTAAATATATATTCTTATTTATCTTATCTCTAAAACATGACAGACACTTTTTTAAAGACTTATAGGTCAAATATTCTATTTTATAGAATAACACTCTGCTTTTTGTACAGTGTCAGACTTATACATGTGACTATTGATTTTCTCTAAAATTTATTTATTTATGTGAAGGAACAGACAGGAAGGAGGGAGGAAGGAAGGAAGGAAGGAAGGAAGCAAGGAAGAGAGAGAGGGAAATTAATTCCATCTGCTGGTTCAATCTGCAAATGGCTGCAATAGCCAGGGCTGGGAGTAGCCAAAGAAAGAAGCTAGGAACCCTGTCCTGGCCTTTTCCATGGGTGACAGGGACCCAAGCACCTGGGTCATGCACTAGTACCCTCCCCGGAACACCAGTAGTCACTGAGTTGGAGGTGGAATAGCTGGGACTTGAACAGTGATCTTATATGGGATAGTGATGTTGTTACTGGCTGTACCACAAGAGTCCCATTCAATTTGATTTTGTCCAATGTTTCCTCGTGGTTGCTTCAGATCACACACACCTCTGGCTAGAAGCTTATGTAAGCAGTGCTATGTCCTTTCTCATTCGCACACACACTGTGTCTCTCTGCCTCATAAATAAATTTTGATCACTTGAGACAAGGTATTAAGTACCACCATTACATGTTGTTACTGTTCTTTCTTAGTAGGTAGTTTGTGGAAGATATTTGAGAATAGTGACCTATGCCGTTCCTCAACTTCCCTTCACTTTCTACAGGCTGATCATTCCTGTCTAATCAACTTTTACTAGGTGACTACAAATGAATGATTTTCTATCATCACCATTTTTCAATATTTTATTAACTGACTACCCTTTTCCTTTTTACTCTCTTAAAAATATTTATTTGTTTGTTTATTCATTCATTTGAAGGGCAAAATTACAGAAACAGGGACACACACATATCCTCCATTTACAGGCAAAAAGCTGCAGCATCAGGGGCTAAAGCAGGTTGAAGCCAAGAGCTTCCTCTAGGTCTCCCACATGGGTGCTAAGGACCCAAATAACTGGGCCATCTCTGCTGCATTCTCAGACTCAGCAAGCTGAGTCAGAAGTGGAGCAGGCAGGACTTGAACCCGTGCCCTAATGAGATGCCAATGTCACAAATGGCATCTTTATTTGGTGTGCTACAATGCCAGCCCCTTAACTCATTTATTAACTGTATCAACTATGAGTTATTACTGAATTTATTGAGTTTTTAAAAGTACCCTGCAAAACACAGTAGATGCAAAATCATGATTCTGGATGTAGAGTGACTAATAGGCAAAGTTTATTTACTTAACCAAGGACCCCACTTATTCAGGCTCTGGAGTGGGGCCCCTAGCATGAAGCTGTCTCCAAGACAATGTGAGTTATCATTACCCTGCTGAAGGGTTGCTCATCATCAGACATGATATCATACTGCAAAAATTCCATCCAAACAACCCATCTATTTCCCCACAACTAGCAAACTTGAATGTTTTGGCAAAGTCAAAGGGACATGATTTACAAATAGTAGGTAATATTTGGATCTTTCCACAAGAGCTGGGCTCCAGTTTTTCTTTTCTTTTTTTTTTTTTAAATAAAATAGAAATGATTTCACTTTGGAGTTCACTGTGTCACTCTCTCAACAAACAGATCCTCACATCAGAAATGAGGCTTGTGTTATATACAACTAGAAAGGGCTTTGCACATATTTACTTTGTGGTCAGAGACCACACACTGGGTGGCTATCTACAATATTTACAGTGTTCCTGATGCCACAAGCCTGGAAGCAAGGTGATGGTGTCACAGAGACGAACCCAAGGCTCAGGCCACATTGGGGCATGGCTATAAGTCCTTGCGTTACTGGGCTCTCTCACAGCAAATGCAGGTGGCCAGCATCTGCTTTCCACACTGGCCTGCATCTGCTCTGCATGATTGCTCAACTATGCTTCCAAATACTACCAAGCACCTGCTCTGAATTCAACACATTTCAGTCTCAGATTATTTCAATGATAATCAGCCACATAAAAGGGCCTTGCCAAGTGTTGAGGTCTTTCCATCCTTTTGTATGGACCAGCCTGGGAAGGCATTAAACACTTACCAAGAAAAGTCTGGCAACCCCAGTAGCAAGTCGCTCTGTCTTCAAATGCCACACCAGGGGCTGCGGGGAATTCAGCAGGAACACAACAGGCTTGTGGTGGATGTGGACTGAGGAGATGGGATTCAAGTGCAGAGTAACCTAGGAAGCCACAGAAAGAAAAGAGAAATCTTGGTAAGGGCTTTCCGTGAAAACTGTTTGGAACATCTGGAATTCCATTTTACAGTCTGCTGTTAAGAGAATCAAGCTATTAGCTAGTTCAGATTACATGAGTCAAATTTAAGGGGTCTTTAAAAAGTTCATGGAAAATAAACATTTGGAAAAAACTACACTTGGATCTCAAATTTTTTTGCATCAAAATAAAAAAAATGTATTATTTACATTTTCTACAGTCATCTTAAAATCCCTCCATATGTTAGGGAGAATTAGATGATAGTGCCAATATTTAGTGACATTTTACTATAAAATGGCTATTTTATAGATCGTCATGTATATATTCAAGGAAGACTCAGCTCCCAATGATAGAACACCTGGTTCACTGAAGAACGGAGGTGGGAAGGGAGAATGGAGAGAGGAGGAAGACGCAACAGCCTTTAAAAGCAGCAATGAGCAATGCTAGAAACTCTGGACACAAGATCCTCTTGGAGCACATGAGCTGAACAGATCAAACTTAACAGAGCGAACAGGTGGGTAAAGAAAAACTCCCTACAGCACACTAGGAAGCTGAGCCAAGACTGAAACTCACATGTTTCAGTAGAGGGAACTCATCAAAGATCATCAGAATGTGACAAGGTTACGGGAAGTGAGTGTGTGGGGGGAGGTAGGGAGAACACAACAAATGTCGGCTGGGAACATCAGACTGAACGGACAGCAGGAATTACAGCACATCTCAGCCACAATCCTCACAGCAGTATACGGTCTAGAACTGTGAGCTGACTGCATATCAGGTCAGGGACAGAGCACTGCAGGCTACTTTTCCCAGTCACTGTTGGCCAACTCTGATAACAAGGTTTCTCTACCTTCCTTTTTTTTAAATGATACAGTTGCATAGGCTCTGGGATTTCCCTTTCCCCAAGTCCCCTCCTTCCAATGGATTCTTCCTATATTGTAACAGTAGCATAGTCCTTCATAAACAATCCTAAGTCTGTCATTCTGCTGAAGAGCATATCCTGACACTGTAGGTATGGACAATGGTACAGAGTTCAGCATCCTATTGTTAAGATATATTTAACAGTTTCACTGGGAGTCCACCTTTAGTTTGGAAGTAGAGATGCATACTGCATTGTATATTCACATTTGGATATGATAGTCACTATTACACAGCTACTATACATCCCTTAAATGAAAAGCCCTAAAACAAAATTAACAATAGGAAGAAAAATACGAAATTTACAGCATGAAGTTAAACATACTACTGAATAACCAATGTGTCACTGAAGAAATGAAAAAATATAAAAAACCTTCTTGAAGCAAATGACACTACTATATGACCTATGAGTCAGTGAAGAATAAGAAAAAAATTTCTGAAGAAATGAAAATAAAAACAAAAATATTATCAAAACCCACGAAATGTAGCAAAAACAGTATTGAAAAGGCTATTGATATTAACATTTTGCATGAAGGTTGCCTTATATCAGAGAGAACATATGATATTTGTCCTTTTAGGATTGACTTATTTCACTGAGCATAATGATCTCTAGTTGGGACTATTTGTTTGCAAATGGTAGGATATCATTCTTTTTAACGGCTTCATGGAGTAGATGTATTAGCTTCTTTATACACTACTTTTTTGACGGGCATCTAGGTTGTTTCCATGTATTTGCTATTGTAGATTGTACTGCTGTAAAAACAGAAATACAGATCCCCTTTTCGTGCAGATTTCATTTCTTTTCGATGTATTTCCAGAAGTGGGAGAGCTGGGTCATACAGATCAATTTTCATGCTAACTTCCACAATGATTGTACTAGCCTACACTCCCACCTACAGTGAAGGAGGTCGCTGTTCTTCCTACATCCATGCCAGCAGGTGTTGTTAGTAGAGTTCTGAATGTAGGCCAACCTCACTGGAATTAGGTGGAATCTCAATGCTGTTTTCATTTGTATTCCCCTAAGAGCTAGGGAGCTTGAGCATTTTTTCATATGTCTATTAGCCATTTGAATTTGTTCTTTTGAAAACTGTCTGTTCATTTCCTTTGCCCAATTGTTCACAAGGTTATTTGTTTTGTAGTTGTTGAGCTTCTGAAGCTCTTTGTAAATCCTGGATGTTAGTCCCATATCAGTCGTACAAAGACTTTCTCCCATTCTGTTGGTTGCTTCTTCACGTTGTTGATCATTTCCTTTGCTATCAAAAAGCTTTTTAGTTTGATGTAGTCTCATTTGCTTAATTTGGCTTTGACTGCCTATGCGTTTGGTGACTTTTTAAAGAAGTCTTTCCCAATTCCTATATCTTGGAAAGTGCTTCCTATGTTTTGCTCTAATGATGGTTCTCTACCTTCCTTTTGCACAAACCACTAGTGCTCAATGTCATTAATATAGTGCCTTGTCCTGTCTTTACTAGATAAGATTCTAAACTTTATCTGTTTGAGTCCACACTTTGGCACATGGTAGGCTTTTAGTATCTGGCACCACAATATGGTAAGTCTGCTTTTCAATGCATGAAAGTACATTATTCTACAAGAGATTTGCATCAAGCTATATGATAGCATCTTAATTACTACTTACTGCGTGCAAATGTCTTAAGTTCCAAACTAGACTATAGGCAAAGATGCACCTTACACTTAATACTCTTTGTCTATAATGTGCTTAATATACCGTAGGCAACAAAACATACTGATAAACTTATCACCATGCATTAATAAATTTACATGCTATATAAAATTTAATACTGGGTGAAGAACTAACAAGTTTAAGGGATTTAATTATCTAACTTACAGAAAAATACAAGAACACAAGCAATCCTCAAAATGTCACAAGCCAGTGCAAAACCAGAATTATTTTTATGTTTGGCCTAAGCACAATGTTAAGTCAAAGTACTCAATGACCTGTGCTACCAAATACACATACAGCAAGATAACGTCCTCCTTGTTTACAAGGATTCTACATTGCTGTATACCCTGGAGCTTCCAGCATCTAAAAATATAGACTGATGGCCACCAAAAATAAGCAGGCTACATAAACAGAGCAGACGAGGGACAGGTACAACGTTTCAATGGCTAAATCATCACCTTCCAAATACCAGGATCCCATACAGGGGCTAGTTCATGTCCTGGCTGGTCCACTTTCCATCCAGCTCACTGCTTATGGCCTGAAAAGGCAATGGAAGATAGCCAAAGCCTTGAGACCCTGCACCCGTGTAGAAGCTCCTGGCTCCTGGCTTTGGATTGGCTCAGCTCTGACCCTTGTAGCCATTTGGAAAGTGAACTAGAGGATGGAAGAGCTTTTCCTCTGTCTCTCCTTCTCTCTGTGAATCTGATATACCTTTACAGTAAAAATAAATAAACTTTTAAAGAGAGTAGAGAGAGACAGCAGAGGCAAAGATTTAAGATTCAAGATTCTTCTTGAGGGAAGATGGAGAACAACCAAAACCCATCAGCACAGGAATGAATGCCCTCAGCTTCAGGAGTGTGTGAAGAACATACCCGGAACATCTCAAAGCTAGGCTGCTTCATTTCTTCCAAAATCAAAAATCAGGCAACCAAGCAAGCAAGCCAGAAAACAAGCAGGCCAGCAAGAAAGAAAGTTGGTTAGTTCTCCAGGATCTAAGAGAGCTCAGGATAGACCACAGATAGAAGCAGAATGTCCCACTGCAGTGCTTCATGGAGACCTTATCCCTTGACCATGGTGTAACGATGAGAGCTGAGGCAGACCACAAAGGGCTGACCCTCAATCCAAAGCCAAACTTACATACCCCAAATTCAAGTCTTAGCTTAGTGTATGGGATTCATTAAGTATGGAGGAGCTAAACATGAGAGTGATGACAAAGCCAGGAAGCTTCACCTGGTAAGGGAGGATGCATTCCAAAAGAAGGGACAACGGTTCTTTCTAACTAGGCGGCTTTTGTGTTCACTTCAGGAGTCCTGGAGCATTCACAACTCAATGCAAGCATAAACTCCCTCTGTGCATGTGCACAGACACACACACACACAGCTCATGCTATACAAACTTGTACAGCGAATCTCAGGGAAATACATGGCCACTGCCAGACCCATGATCTGTAGGTTAAGGACTCATTAACCCAGGCAAAGGGATTCATGGTAAAACAACAAGAAAATTCTAATGGCAGAAATGGAAACAATATGGCTTCACTGAATGAAACAAGAAGTCATGTGCCAAGTCTTAAGATATCTGTCTTAAAGGGCAAGAATTTAGCAGATGACAACCCGGAGCTAGAAAACGTTCACAAGAAGTTCCTGGGATTTTTGTGACCTCCTGAAAACCAGACTTTGACCACATACTGGTCTGCGAAGTCCAGTGAGGGGCTCCTGCTCTGATCATGTTTGTCTCAAGCTGTACTGAACATTCAGTCTTCCTGAGCGTGTGAGAAAATACAAGTCTCATCTCTCACAACCCCCATGCAGACACTGTCCCCTCACTGAAGGAAGGCTGACGGGCCTATCTGCTCTCCAACATCTATTTATACTAAATCTTCTGAGGTTATCTGTGTAATTGCACAAACGTTCTAATCGTTATTTTTAACCATTTTATTTATTTAAGAGGCGAACAGAGGGAAGAAGAAGCTGATAGAGCAAATGAACTCTCAGTTGCTGGTTCACTTCCTAGATGCCTGCAGTAACTCTTGGCTAGGGAGGAGGCCAGCAACCAAGCCTTCCAGCTAGGTCTCCCACGTGGGAGGCAGGAAGGGAATGCAATCATGTGAGCCATGTGGCATGCAGGTGTCTCAATCACTAAGCCAGACACCTACCCTCTAGATGTCATTTTATGAAGAAATAAATTTATAAAGAGCAAATGTTTTCTGAGGGACCCAAATATAATTTAACCAAAGTCAAGGCCAGTTCTAAGGAGCAAAAAGCATCTGGGTGTTAAGGCAAGCTTCCTATCTCCCATTTAGGAAGCAAGCCCTTGCTCACATTATCACCAGAAAACACAGACAGCGTGTTCTGCGTCTTGTGTGGTGAAGCTCTT